GCCATGTTATTGGGGCCATCACATATTTTGCAGAAGACAATGTCCACCCATAACTCAAGGTATTTTGAACTGCAGAGACACTCAAGATTTCCTTGATGTCATTCTAGGAAGTTAAGCCAAAAATTCAATTGCTTTTGATGGGTGCAGTTTTATGCAAGAGGCACACTGAGTCCTCAGGACCCAGAAGAGGCAGAAACAAGGGAGGCTGCAATGACAGGCAACTGTGCTGTGTAGACAGCTTGCTCCGTAGCATGAAGCCAAGGCCTGACCTTCCTGCTGACAAGAAGCTGTAGTCATTGTAGTCAGGTGAACATAAAGGTTGTAAATGGCTTGATTCAATTGAATTCAAATTCAATGGCTTGAATGTCTTCATTTTGGTAACCAGGTGATGGCCAAGCTCATTGACTCCCATACCAGGCCTGCTGAAGGCATCTGAAGATTCTCAATTATTTCAGCAGGCTTTCAACATGGCCCAAAGCACAAACAAAGCAAAAAATTACTCCTGACAGCAGGTGCTCCGTGAGTAGCAGATCCGGCTCTTGCCTTGTATCAATAACCCTAAAAGGGTCAGAAACATGGTAAGAAAATAAGCAGGAGGACCTAGCTTCAGGAAACTGGTTTATAATACACGTAGTAAGCTGCAGGCCTCTGACATGCCAGGTAAGTAATGAGAGGAGAATCTGTCTTCTCCTGGGGAGACTTTCCTCAGGACAAAGAAGGGCTGAGCACATAGAAGAAGTAACGGATGGAGACCAGAGGGATAGTTTTCGGGAAGAGTTGAAAGAGGAAAAATCTTCAGCCCCTTCTTTTTTCAGTTTCTCATTTAATAAAGTGTCAATAGGAATGCAATGAAACATGGAACCAGTAAACTTCATGCTGACAGAAAAATCTGCTTTACAGATTCTTCCTTTTCTTTAAAGCAAAGCTTGAGCATCTCAATATGTACCACATGACTAGTGAAAAATATCCTTGAACCCAAAATTCTAGAGATACTAATTTAAAATGCTTAAGTACAGACCTTTACATCAGATTTAGGGAACAAAATGCAAAAGAAAGTTTTCTGCACCCTATTTGTTCTCTCCAAGGCTTCAAATCATTGCAATGATTAACTGTCTCAGGTTAGGGAGGATTAGCTCCTAGAGGTAGATAATTTTCTCATTTTACATTAACAGAATTTTTGCATTTTAGTGCATCTAGTGCTGGGTGTATTGATCTCACAATATCTCAGGATATTGTCCCTTTCAAGATTTTCAGGCAGAATAAAGAAGTTAAAGCTGATGATTTATATTGATCTCTCTTCACTTCTAGGTATTTTTTTTTTTTCCGAAAGAAAATAAAGATACCACAGCATTTTGCAGGAGAGAAAAACAATGAAGAATGAGTAAAATACACACCTATCCTATCTTTAACTTTAAAATATTTTATTTTCAATGTCATTTTGACTCTCTTCCCAGAAACTTCAATGTAAGTCTCTTAACTGAAAGAGTCACAGGAGAATCAAGTGTTTGCAGAACGCTGTAAAGGCAGGAGAGATGTTTCCTACTCCACTTCTTGGATCATAGAATAACCGAATAAACTCAGCCCCTTTAAAGTTTTATTAAGTTTAAATAAGGATTTATATGTTTGGAAAAATAATGCTTAGAAACAAAAATTTAGAAAGAAAAAGAAAAAAAAAAAAAAACAGAAAGGAATGTGGAATGTAATATAACCACAGGAAAGCAGAGGTGTTTTCCCCCTTTTACTGTTCTTAATTAAAAAAAGAAAGAATACTGCAAGTGAGAAGGATTTTGTTTAGTGTTCCAGTGTCATCAGTTCTTTTTACTCTGGGACAGGCAAACGGGCAGGATTTGGAGCTCGGTCACAGTCCTCCTCTTTGGGCTAGTCCTAACTTCCCTTGTCCTGCTCGATGCCAGGGCAGAAGGGCTCCCTGCAGCAGGTTTCACAGTAAGTGCTGGGCTCGTGTGGGCCTTCCCTTCACTTCAGAGCAAGCCCTGTTCCAACCTACACACCCAGCCTCTCCACTCCAGGTTAGGAGATACTTCTTCCTCTGCTTTTCCTCTCTTGTATCTGTTCCTTCTGCTACTGCTGCCCCCCGACCGCACACCACCTTGTTAGGGGCCAAACAGGGACACGGCTCTTTGCTACTGGTGGCCAAGGGAGTCGACAAGACTGACCCTGAGAAACCACACCATTTCCCAAAGCTCACAAGGCAATGCTGAAGGGGTCAAGAAACTCATCCAAAGCACTTAGTGAACAACGTTAGCACTTTAATTTCAGTCCCTTCTTTCTATTCTAGCACAAACTTTGCCATAAAGCCAGCTCAGCATATTGCAGACCACAACTAAAGATGCTCAGTCTCCCCAGCTTCATGCCAGAGGAATGTAGACAGTTACTGTACCTATGTATATTCACCCCTCTGCTGTACCTATAAGTGTCGGACTTTCTCAGTAATCTATTTCTTGAGTGTATGACTGTGACCTTAACCAATGGCTCTGAGGCAACAATGGACAAGTTCATCTTTCCTCTGCAGCTCCCACTCTCCTTCAAGGGCTAAGCAGGGATCAGCAACCTCATAAATAGCCCCCAGAACGAATCCTCAGACTGCAAGCCACTGATTCCTGCTGTCTGCATGACACGGTGGTGCAGAGCTGAATTCCTTGCCTCTATCATTCATGTAGGCATTTAGTCTTACAAAAATCTCTTCTTTCATATCCTGTGTTTCTATGTGGCATTTCAAAGTCACATTAATGGTAACAAAGCTGTAAGATCTTCTCAGACCTCTAAAATGCTGCTTCAGTTGGCAGATAATATATAGGAATGGGCCTGCCTTTTAGAAACTCTTTGACACCTCCATCACCATGGCTGGCGTGGGAACCTACCTGGCAATTAGGTGATGATATGCCTAATTTGGGATGTTTTATACTTTTTCTTCACATGTATTATCATTTTTTTTGTCATCTGATGAGGCCTGTAATAAACACTTGTGACACCATAAATCACTATGCTTGGTTCAAGCCAAGGATACCACAGGGAATGCTTCATAGAGAATGCTTCATATGTAATACTTAACTCATGGTAATATAACTTGCTAAAGGGCAAGAAGTCTCTAATGCAAAGACATGATCCTTGCAAAAAAAAAAAAAAAAAGAAAAAAAAAAAAAAAAAAAAACCCTCCAGCATAAACTTTGGAATTACCATCACTGGCAAATTGGAGAGAGAAAAGATAAAAACAAAAAAACACACCTGAACAGGGAGTTTCTTCACATTTTAATTTTCTATTTTGTTCTGCCTGTAACTAAAAATGAATGGTATAAAATTGGTTTATAAAAACACTAGCAAACAAAAAAACCTTTTTACCCAAATTAAAAGCAACAACCCATGAGAGAAAAATGCTCCACTACATTTAGAGTTCTGCAGGGACTAGTATACATATAGAGATTTTAATTTTCCACAGCCTGTAAGTGTTATAATCTCTATCAACTGAGTCCGCTCTGGGACCATGACTAACACTATTTCATGAACTCCAACTGGCTGTTGATTTCTTTCTTCTTTCTTCCACACTGTTTTTAAATTCAGATCTGATCCAAGAATTTGCAGGAATAAAATTTTTACAGCATGCTGTTCCTCTCAAGTCTAAAACACAGGTCTTTTTTGGACTTTGTGTCAACAAATCACAGATGTCTATGAATTAACGTAATCCGTGTGAATGATCAGATCTTGTCTTGGGGACAAAGGCTTTACTGCTGGAGTAATTACACTGCTTTTAGTAGAGATTAAAAGGTGTCAGGACATTCAGATTCTTGAATTATCTTCATGATTCTACTACTGGTAGTCTCTTCTTTGGCCAAGTCCTGTCTCCAAGATTCATTATGCATCTCTCATGTGCCATGCTTGCACACTATAGGAATAGCCACAATGCCTCCTCCACGGTCTTCAGAGTTCTGCCTAAACTCACAGACTTGTGTTATGCTTTCTCATTTCTCTCTTGAGGTTATATAATTATCCTTAACTTGAATTTATTACTGGTTAACCGATTTAATAGACTTTCAATGGCAACATATACAATAACTTATCTATCAAAGTTTACAGGGACTCCTTCCAATAAGTCACTACACCTGAGACCGGAACCTGGAAACACTTGTCAGAAAAAGAGGTAGAAGATGACATTCAAAGACTAAGCTTGCATAAAATAAAAAGAAGAATCAGTAAGCTACATGTTAAATGTGAATCTCAGTATGAACTATCGGACCAGTCTGGAGGGCAGATTTCAGCTCCATTATGAGTCTTTAATAGCATTGGATAAGTAACATAAACAGAGACTGAAGACAGAGTCTGCCTGGGACACATACAAAATTATGACATGTTTGAGAAGTTATATACTTTGTAGAGTATTTACATAAGGCTCCCTTCCTCTTCCTCTTCAAATATAAGCTCAAATATTACAAAGTTTTTTGCTCCTCCTTCACCCTCTCAATGAGGGGACTACGTTCAACAGTCCTACAAACATCCATAATTATCTTTTTTCAGGCACATTTCTCAGTTTTCCAGTCATTCGCTTCCCCAAAGCCAAAGCAATACCAAGGAAAGTCCTTCTCCACGTGTGCCTCATTCATCCAGTGAGAGAATGAAAGCACAAGGTATAGAGGGAGGAGACAGTACAAAAGTGATGATCTCAAGACTGGATTAATTGCCTCTGCTGAGCTATAGGCACCTGTTTGGCCTTAGTCCTGGGGTCTGAAACTCAGTTCACCAGTTGAATTAATGTTTCTGTCATAGAGTATGTCCAAGATGCAGTACTGAAAGGAACTATGTATGTGACTACCTGATATAAACAGATGCCAAGTGTTTTAATGAATACAGCACATTACATCCAGCATAGAAAACTTTACATCAGGGATTTGGAAAAAGGACATTTCTCGGCTTAGTAAGTTAGAGTACTGTCACTTTCACAACATCTGATTTATGCTCAAATCCATTGGCCCACCCCAACTTTTTCTTACCTGAGAAGTGTCATGATTGAATATGACAGCATTCAGGTCTCCACAGTTATAGTGCTTGATGAGATCTTCAGTGGTATATGGGGCTTGCAAACTACCTGCTCGGAGACTTTCGTGTTGGAGCAAAGTTTGGTTTAGAGCAAACAGCACCTGTAGAAATGAAAACAAAATGGGGATGAGTTAAGGATATGAGAAATCACAAGAGCAAAGCCTGAAAAGCCAAGCTTTAAAAAAAAATCTTCATTTAGTCCCACCTGAGGACTTTTGGTCTCTCCTGGCCAGCAGTAATGACAAGAGATTTTTAGGTACTCCCAGTTGTAAGAGGAGTCAGAAGCAAGACTACCTGCTAGCAGACCTTGCTAAAGGCTTTTGATATTCCTCATCAAAAATTGCTCTACAGCATATATATTGCTGGGAGAACATGGAGATAAAATGGCCCAAGGACTTTTCGGCTGCATCAATAGAAAACAAAACAGACACTAATTAGGGAGCTTTTGTTATCAGTTTCCTAGCAGCTAGTTTAAAATCAAAGCGCAAACCAAGCTTGAAATTTTGTGATAAAATTCAAAATCTTCCAAGCATCTGAATTTACACTTAAAATATTGGGACTATTTCTGCTTCTAGTAGCAGAAACTTTTAAGAATCAAAGCTCATCATTAGTCTCCCTCTTTCAGTCTTTCTCCCTCCACCCACCCTTTTGCAGGGTGAACAGAGGTACTGATTTGTCTCACTGTTGCAGCAGACTATTGCAGTGTCCTCATCCAAATCTGAAAATAAGAGATGGTCACTTCCACCGGGAAAACAGAATTACCCCGTGCTATTTAAATTTGGATAACCAAGGCAAAATCATCCATAAAGACAATATTTTTCCTTGCATTACATAAAAGGTCACTAAATTCCATATGAATTACCACATTTTTTTTAACATGTTTGTGCCAGACTGCTGGTGTGATTTATATTGATCATTGAAACATTGAGTCTGAGCTTTCCATTTCAAGCTTTCCAAGAACTTTGCAAGAAAACTTGATAAAAAAGTAGATGAGCAATCAGAAGCACAGCAGTTAAGATGGCGAGTTTATCACGAATTACAGAAATAAGTGAACACATATTTCCTGGAAGAAACTGATCTGAGGCATCTGTGCATTTCAATTTCTAGAGAGTTATTTTGATGTGTCATCTGGAAGATTATTTTTCATGAAAAAATAACTCCTGCATCCCTCAACCTCATATTTCACCATATTTTCAGCTTCTCTCAGTGCACTCTTAATCACAGTGAATAACAATCATCTCAAAATCTGGATAGAGTAACCCACGCTCAGCTCCAACTGGCCCAGCGAGGCCGCAGGCTGCGACACAGTCATATCCTTATCCACATGCTTAACTTTAAGCAACTGAACCCACTTTAGGCAGTGAACCCAAGAGGAGTTTAAAATTAATGATGTACATATGTCTTTGCAACCTGGAAGCTTTTATTTGTTTATTAATATGGTTTCCATTGAAATTTATCTGAAGGAATGGAAAGAGTCAATCGGTCTAACTTCTGCAAAACCCCATGCATACAATGAATGTGAACTGAGAAGTTTTTTAAGTAATAATAAAAGGAATAATTATCTCTAGTACTTTAACAGTCTCTTAATGCAAAGCTGCTATATACTAACTACCATACAAATTCTGGTTGATGAAAAGAAAGTATTATTTTAAATTTACTTCTGAAAATAAAGTGTGGCTTTCAACTGTACCTGCTAAACCTCAGTTCTGCAATTGGTTCCCTCTTAAGATCCAAGCCTAAAAGATTTCCTTGTCCAGATCTAAGGTTCCCTTCAGGCTTTCCCACAAAGAGATCAAGCTTTCCCAGCTCAGGCTAAACTTTTCAGGCTAAAGATACGCATCTTCTTAACTTAGTTTTTTCTGTAATGTAAAAAAGCTGCAAAAAAAAATACAGTTTAAAGATTTCCTAACCTTTGAAAGGATCTGAGCTTCCCTCACCACCCCCAAGGGCTATAGCTTGAAGAGGAAATGGTTCACCCCAGGATTTCCTGGGGATTCTAAACATTTTGACTAATAAAAATAAAAGCTTAGAGAAATGTTGACAGGAAAAGTGAGAGCAAAGGTTTTCCTGACAAGCTTTTAGTAAAATCCTTCTCATTTTTTATTTTTTTAACAATGGATATTGATGAATGTATGCTCACGTACAGATGCATATATAACAACATACATATACAAAAACATAAATTCACACAACAAAATCCTGAAGATAATAGTGTGCTTTTATGATAAAATATTTAGAATGAGCTAAATAAATCCTTACTTTATTCCTTATGCTCTCTTTTACTCTGGCTTCCTGAGGAAACAAGTCTCATGCAGTCATGCTTTGGGTCTGTCTCCTAACAAATTTCAAACCTACCAGCTGATTTCAATCAGTTTCGCAGAGGGATAGAGGTCCTAAAAATAATTGTTGCCTGTATGTTTGTTGAAGATAACCGTGCAGTTGCAGAAGGAGCAACTTTTTGAAGACACCAAGTAACCCCCATGAGTGAAGGGGTTAATCAGCACTTATGAAGGATCCCTGTGCACCAGACATCAGCACCAGGTTTTACATTGGGATATTTATGTTTTCTTCGCACCTCAGTAGCAACATGACCTAGAAGTGTTGCCTGCTGGCTGAACCTTGGCACTCTGCTAATGCTGCGGGGGACCTAATCTCTGGATTGATGCTAGTACTCACAGAGCCACTTGAGAGATTTTACTTTAGGATAAAAGTTAAAGGAAGAAACTCATACAAGCACTTAAATATGCTAAAACAAATCCTCAACCACTTCAAGCAGGATTTCTCTAGAAATCTGTTCATCAAGAGCCATAAACATCATGCTTTCTGGTCCTGTGGCTCAAACCAGACGTGGACAAGTGAGGTCTTGCAGCCATCATGTGCTTATTTGTTGGATTTGTAGACTATTTCCTTTAGGGTCAGGTTAAGTCTGTCTTAAAACCTGAATTTATTTTTCCTTACTGTTCACATAATGCCACAAAAAACAATGCTGTTTTCTTTTTTTCTTTCTATCTTATTATCAGTGACCCCATGACCTCTAGCCTAAATCTCCAAGTTAAGTCTCCCAGAGGTGCCCAAGATTACCGAACCACTGACAACTTCAAAATAAACATGCTCAGAGCGACTGCCGGTACATGGTCCCACCTAATAAATACAGCAGACAGTATTTGTGCTGGGAAGAAATGGTAAGTTATGACGTTGTCTCTGGGAAAGTGCATTTTTATTCACATAATTTATGATCCCTACATAAATGCACTTTGAGAGGTTTCTTTGCACTGCAGTCTCTGGCGGTGATTTGCAGTGAATCAGACAACTGAAGGTAACTTGCACCCTGCCAGGAGCCTTCTTGACCAAGTGGTGCCATCCTCCAGTGGAAAACAGCAATCCAACACAGTGATTTTATTTTTACGTTTGGAGAATCAGTTCAATTCTTATGGAAGACCCTAGGGTCATATATTAGTGCCTAACTGCGCAGATACCACCAACTCACCAAGCCCATGCAGCACCACAAACCAGTGCATCGGACTTTTCAGCAGTGCCATTGCACAAATTATTGCCATCGCAAGAATAGGGAAGGCTAGGCCAGGCCGTTTCTGCCACAGGAAGGCAGGAGGAAAAGTGAAGTGGGGACAGTGGGGAGAACCTGCTGCTGCACCACGGTGGAGCTTCAACAGAGAGAGCTCCTCAGGAGGTAAGGCAGCCATAGGAACCTCAACTCTTATATCTTGGCAAACATCTACTCTATTTGCACTAACAGCTTTCGCAGTACCTGTGTTGCTGCCCTGTTCTTTCCTGTGCTCCTTCATCCACAGGACCATGGGCACTTACTTGCAGTTGGATCTGCAGAGAGGAGCCTGATCTGCTCATGTGCAACCTTACTGTCTTCTGCAGGGCTCCACAAGCAGGACCAAGTAAGTGTAATTAAGATTCTAACCCATAACTTTGCAAATTACATTGACCTACAAGTAATGTTCTTCCCTCTTGGATTATGGAGGCAAAAGCCAAGTGTTAATGGGAGACACGAGTTGCAAAACGTCCCTCTTGCACATAAATCAACTTGAAAGTTTAAACCATTTTATTTCAACTTCAAAGGATGAAATGTTAAAAAAGAAAAACAATCCAAATCCCTTATATAAAACAAACAGATAAAACCTGTTTTGGGTCTTGAGGTTTCAAAGGGACCTGGCATCCTGTAAGAGTGCTGATGTATACACAACAGTATCAGCAATTGTGCAATTTGCTTTGCAGCAAGTTGAACTTTGTTTTTGCAGGCCCATGAGAACAGGCAGAGTTGGGGGGAAGCTCTTTGGTTTTATGTGATATTTTGATGCAATTCATTTTTTAGGCAAGTAAACCCCATCCAAAGAAACAGCTCTAAGAAAGCACTGCCACCTTTTCAAACTGAGGGGAAATAAATACACATATATCTGAGAGGAAATAAATCTGAGGGGAAATAAATACATATATATCTAAATTGGGCTCAAGAACACTTTAAGCTTTCAACTAGAAATCCTGTTGTTCATCACATTGGGTTTGGGGAGCAAAGCTGATGGCTGGACAAAATTGCACCTGTTGCACAGAACTCTCCCAAACCTTCATAAATCACATCTTACTGTGACCCAAGCCTGCAGCTCCAGCCTGGACTAGGCTCCAGTTCTACAGCTGCTGTCAGTTGCACAGGGACCTGTTAGTGACACATGCACAGCAGCTAAAGAGAAATCACAGCCTTCATGCAGGAGACATTTCTCTTTACCCATTTTGCACACCTTTCACTCTAGCTGAGAAGGAGAACCAAAAGGTCAGAAAACAAAAGCTAAGTTATCCCTTGTCAAATGCCTTGTTCCTGACAGTAGTTTCTAAGTTCTTTTCTCCTGAATGGCAGGAAGATGGAAATAATATACTCACTTTTCTAAAAGATGCTATTCAGTACCTGGATTCTTTATCACAATCATCACTGAAAATTGGCTCAAGGATACAAAACACAGATATATTTTTTCCAGTAATACTTTTGCATGGGAGAACAAATTCATACTGGTTGATTACCTTGTGCTACATCTTTCAAAGTCACATACTTTGTCAGAAAATCCATTTCTTTTATTACATT